TTAATCATCATAAACTTTGGGTTTGAAAATGATGTACCAACTGAAGTTTTATACGGTAGGAAGAAGGGTGGGAGTTCCAAATAAGTTTCATGCTAAATGCATTATATGATTTATAATTGAATCTGATGTATTACAGTTGAACAATAGATGAGTAGAAATAGAGTTGAGAATTGTTTAATCGGTCTCATTTTTTTGGTTAAAAAAAATGAAGAGAAATGCCCTAAAGAAGGTACCTCATAGAATGCTTGATGAAAGGGGTGGAATGCTTTGAGAAGTATAGTTTGGATTTTTGGAGGTTAAAGTATAAAAAATGTCAAGTGCCTTGAGGACATTGGTGTAGGATTTTTTATTAGCACGAAAGGCTAGAAGTAGATCGTTGGTAAACATTAGGTGAGAAATGTTTACCCCTTTAAAGTTGAAAGGAGTGATCTGCATTCAGTCAACAATTTTAAAGGTTAGAGTTGATAAGACTTGTTAGGCAAGAATAAAGAGGTATGGCGACAGGGGGTCTTCTTACCTGATACCTTAGCTTTGAAACTATTAGAACATACACCATTGGTTATACAAGAGAAGATCAAAGAAAATGTTCATGAATGGGTCCAATCGATGTAAATATAGTTAGCAAGAAAATTCATAGCTAAGACTATATCGCCGTTCGTAAATATAATGAATAAGTAAATCAATTTGTAATATGAATGAAAAACATAAAATAAATATAAACCAGATTTATAGTGGTTTAGTCACTGTGACCTACATCTACTTTCGATTCTTCTTCACTCGAGGTCACCAGCTTCCACTACCAATCTTCTTTCAACGGGTAAAGATCAACTACCCTTATAACTCTTTCTCCTTTTGACAGGCCCGGGAGAGAATATTTTATACCTCACTTATTCCTTAGAAAACTTCTAACTCTAGGAGGAAGAGACTCTAAATCCTAATTTTTTTTCTCAAGTATTCTTTCCCCCTTTTCTACTTAATTTTGTGCTCTACTAAGCAAGAAAAGGTGAGATATTTCTAGACCTCAAATGACTTTAAAAATAGAGCTAAAAAAGATCTTAAGTTTCTCGGGTCTTGGCAATACCATCGCTTGTAGCACTGATACTAGACGGTACCACTGCCCAGACTGGTAGTACCACCGCCTGACACAATTTGAGAGACTATGTCTGGGTGGTACCATCGGTTGACATAGTCTAGGAGACTGTGTCCGGGGGATACCATTGCCTAGTCTAGCGGTGCCATCGCTTGGGCCAGTTATGGGTCACTGAACGAGCCTTCGACTTGGCCCAAAATAGTCCCAGGCTCAATTGGCCCCTAATTGAGTTGACATTATTTCACCTCAATACCAACTTAATTAGACCTAAACTAACTTGATCTAGACATAATTGATTACAAGCATGAATCCTATGTTGTCCAGCATGTTATTGGTTCATCCGGCGCATCGTCCTCTTCTTCGACGTATTGCCCAATCAGCATGTTGACTCCCACAACTTCCGATCTCCTTAGCATAATGTCAGATCCTTCGGCCTGATGCCCGAACTCATGGCACGAATGCCTTCTGGCGGTACATCGACTGATCTTTCAGCTAAATATCCAATCTCGAGACATGTTTCACTCCGGCCCAACGTATGATTCCTCTTGCTTTAATCGATTTGTATTTTCTGATTGAAGTTAGTCCTACGTTACTCAAAACGTAGATTAGATCGTAAACTTATCAATTGATTTCATCATCAAAATATGAGATTCAACAAACATGAATATTTTTTCTGTCATCAAAGTTAACTATTAGCATGGACCACATTAAATAGAGCAAGAGTCTAACAATATAATGGTTCTCTTTTTTTTTCATAATAATGATTAGGTGGTCCTACCCCAACTAGGGACGAAGGTTAAGAGTCTTAAAAAGAGAAGTTAAGAATAGGATTAAGTACTAAACAGAAAGCCCTAAGGAATTCTTTATTGAAACCATCGAGACCTGCGCTCATGCCCAGTCTCATTTGGTGAAGAGCAACTTCATCCTCTACAGGAAAGAAAGGTCTACAAAGGTTGTGATGAACCTCCAAAGCTATGGAAGGAAGAGGAGGGCACTGGGATCAATCAAGAGGATCTATGGTGTCTGAATTGTCCTATATCTGAGAATACTAAAGGAAAAATGAGCTGATGATCTGATTGGAATAATCAGACACAGAGCCATTCTCATTCATAATATAAAGAATTCTATTTTTGGAGTGCTCAAAGGAAGCTATTCTGTGAAAAAAAATTATGTTTTTGTCCCCATGTTCAAGTCATTGAATCTTGGCCCTCGACTACTACTTTAAATGAAGTTGTCTATTGAGGGTTATGACTCTATTGTAGAGGGACTAAAGATCAGTAGACTCCTTATCTGAGAGATTACCATTGGCATCCTTGAGCTCAGGAACATAGAACTCGACCATGCTATGTTAATAGAGTTCTCAAAATTCAATCCAATATATTTCCTCCATTTGGATAGGGAGAAACTAAGAGTAGCAAGGCTCTATTGGAAAGCAACCATGGGATTTAGGAGTCTTAGATCAAATTGAGCAAAGGATTTGTTGGTTATATCATGGACTTGAGCACGTTCTAGCCAAAAGGTCTCAAAGCAAAAGGGTTAGAGAGTATTGTAAGAGATTGGGTAGTCATCTTAGCTAAAATGAGGGAGTAGTTTGAGTGAATTTTAGGAAAGTGGAGAATTGAAAACTCATGAAATAAAAAAAAAAACCCAATGATAATTTGTGAGAAACCTATCCAATTGAGCAACAATCCCATCGTTAATAGAATGATTATTGGATCATGTAAAACAAGTGCTAGGGAATCTAAGATTGATTAAAGTGGAGTGAAAGAGAAAATCCTTCAAATCCAGGACAGATTTAAAAAGTGAGAGGGGACGGCCTCTCACTTTGCACTTCGAAGATGAGATAGTATTTAGATTGCCACATAAAGACAGGGAATATTCAATAAAAATTCAATGCGAAAGGAATTCGTCCCATAAAAGTTTACATAAAGATAGAAGAGTATTAGCATAAATGGTTGATAAGAGCCGAGAAGACATACTTTCAACTGAACAACGAGATTAATGGTTTGAGGATTCTTACTAAGCAATTTTAAGTTTGCCTGATTTTTATAGAACTAGGATAACCCCTGATATTAAGATATCGTCATTCCAATATTTGTCATATTTCTTATAGAAGTCTTTGATTCATCTTTCTACTAGTCAATTTCCAACAATGCAATCAGTTCAAGATTATATATTCTTATCCTACTCCTATGTTTATTTACCTCACCTCTTGACCGTTGAATCTCGAATTCTCATAATGAAATTAATTAATTAATTAATAATTTAATTCATATGTTGAGATAAGTGATACAGGACTAACTACTATCGTGAGATAGACAAAACAATTAAAGAAGAATCCAATGTTTGGCTGGAGTCAATGATCGGGCATCGGGCCGGATGAATCGGGTGATATACCGAAGGATCGGATGATGTAGTGAAAGCTCACTAAAAGTTCACCAGGAGTTCACCAAAAGCTCGCTGAAAATTCACTCGGAGTTCGTCGAAAGCTCATCGGATCGAAAGATCGCCAAGAGTTCGTCGAAATTCACCGAGAGTTCGGTTGAACAATTGATATGCTAGACAACTTAGATTTCTTGTATCGTAACTATCATAGTCAGGACTTTAATTTGAGTTAGTTTTGGGAGAAATCCTACAAACTCAATTAGGAGCCAATTAAGTCATAAACAAGACTGAATTGGTCTAATTGGATGGCTCATTCAGTCACTTGGAGCCATATCAAGTGGTGGCACCGCTCAGATTGGGCGGTGAAACCACTTGAGGCTTAGCCTCCCAGGTGGCCTAGGCGATTGTATTGTCGGCAATTAATACTACCATACAGTGGTACCATCCTATTAGGTGGTGGTACCGTCAGAGCCCAGTCTTCAAAGCTTTGTTAAGCGATCGTACCACCCAAACTGAGTAGTGGTACCGCCTAAAGTTAGTCTGCAAGCGGTGGTACCACCCAATACTAGCGGTGGTACTGCTAGTACCCGGAAACCTAGGATGAGACATTTTTTGGCTCTATTTTTGAAGTTATTGGAATCTATAAATACCTCACTCTTTCATACATGAAAAAGCACAAAAAGTGCGAACAACACCTATCTAAGAGAGGTGTGAGGCTGGTAAAAGGTTGTCTCCTAAACCTGTAAAAAGGAGAAAGATGTTGAATCTCAGATTTTGATGATGAAGTCAATTGTCATTTGTTATTTAATACATATGCTGAGATAAGTGTGCAGGATTAACTACGATGAAAGTAAGACATGTAGTAGGAGTTGCGTCGGAGTCAAGACTATGATCACGTTGGGGGTTCGAGAGTTCGACGGAAGTCCGGACGGTCGTCGGAGGTTCTGAGGGAACA